TCACTATGGATTTCATCACAATGCTTCCTAGGACCACACATGGAGTGGATTCAATTTGAGTCATCGTGGATCGATTAACCAAGAGTGCTGATTTTATCCCGATCCAGGAGAGCATACCAGCTGAGAAGCTAGCCACAGTTTATGTTCGAGAGGTAGTAGCACAACATGGAGTGTCAGTCTCAGTTTTGTTAGACCGAGATGTTTGTTTTACTTCCAGATTTTGGAAGTGGTTCCACGATGAGATGGGTACTTGTTTCCACTTTAGCATCGCTTTCCACCAATAGACATATGGACAGAGCGAGAGGATGATTCAGACTCTCGAGGACATGCTTCACATATGTGTACTGGATTTTGGTGGTAGTTGGGATATATATCTTCCGTTAGCGGAATTTTCGTATAACAACAGTTACCACGCTAGCATAGATCGGCCTTCCTTTGAGATGCTCTACGAGAGGAAGTGTAGGACCCCAATCTGTTGGGGCGAGGTGGGTCAGAGGGTCATGGAGAGTACTGAGGTGGTACTGAAGACCACCGAGATGATCCAGTAGGTCCGGAGCAGGCTTCAGACTTCTCAGAGTCAACAGAAGAGCTACACCGACAAGCGTTGTTCCAGGTGGGGGATATGGTTCTCCTGAAGGTGTCACCCTGGAAAGGTGTCATTCGGTTCAGGAAGCAGGGAAAGCTGGGTCCTAAGTATATCATTCCGTTTAGGGGTTTGGCCCGGGTGGGTCGGGTTGCTTATCGATTAGATATTCCAGCAGAGCTCAGACAGATACACAACAGTTTCCACGCGTCACAATTACGGAAATGCTTAGTGGATAACTCAATAGTGGTACCCTTAAAGGATATTTAGGTTGATGACAACATCAACTACATCAAGAGGCTGGTAGCTATCCTTGACAAGAATACTAAGGAACTAAAGAACAAGAGGTTTGAGCTACTAAAGGTGCAGTGGCAGCACCGTAAGGGCTCGGGGTGGACTTGGGAGCCCAATGAGGAAATGAGGGAGCACTACGCAGAGTTATTTGAGACAGCAGACTTCGTGGATGAACTCTAAGACAAGTAGGGAAGAATTGTAACGCCTATAACTCTGGTACACATTTAAATATTAAATTACACATTTTTTCAAGGAAACTCGATGAGTTGGTAGCCCCAAACTCGTCGAGTAGAGATTAAGTAGGATGCGGGTTTTGAAGTCTACTGAACGAGTCGAGAAACCCTGACTCGACGAGTAGGACTTCCAGAATGAAACCCTATTTTTAAGGGTTTGGCATCCTATTTAAAGAACATAACACCCGATTGTGGCCTCCCTCACCGTCTACCATTGTCCATAAATCCCTAATCAGTGATCTTGAGCCTTGTCTGAGTGTGTGAGCCATTTTTGAGTGATTTTTTTGTGGTTTGAAGTTTGTAAGAAGAAGAAGAAGCTAGAGGACTCCAAGTAAGGTTGTAGATCCATAAGCAACATATTATTCCCTCAACTTTCTGGTAATCAAGTCTCTGACTTGGCTATTAGTTCATTAGATCTCCTAAGTTCCATTTTATAAGGATTTTGGTTCAAGGACCTTGACCTTTGGGGACATGGACGTCCCAAGTAGCTTACCTTTAATATATAGGGTCTAGAAGGGGTTCCATGGCATAAAGGTGAAAAATTTATGACCATGGAATCCCCATGCAAGCTTAAAGACTCTATTATGGCCTTTTAAGCCCAAAATGGCCATGCATGGAAGTAAAGTCTGATACTTTACGTGTTCTTTTGGTATCTAGGACTTAGATCTCGATTTTCATGCTTTGGGTTGGAGTAGTAAGGTTTTTGGACAAAGATCTATATCCTAAAGAACTCTAAATCCATGATGAGGGGTTATTGATGGGTAAAGTTGGAAACTTTACCCTTAAAAGGACATTTTCAAGGTGCATGAGGAATTAGAAGTTTAGATCTGATGAATAGGGGCTTAATCTGTTAAGATGTACCAATCAGACATTGGGACTCATCGAGTCCATAGAGGAACTCGACGAGTCATGTCGTGTTGTCCCAATTCTGATTATGGTGGAACTCGACGGGTCTGAGGACGAATCAACGAGTTGGTTCGCTTAATCACGATGAGGAGTAGCTCGAGAACTCGGCGAGTCAGGGGGTTACTCGGTGAGTTGGATCGCGAATTTAGGGTTATTGAGCTTTAGGGCTCGGCGAGTCGATAGGCTGACTCGGCAAGTTGATTCAACCAGAATGTTGACTTTGACAAGAGCATTGACTTTGACCAGGGGTAAAATGGTCATTTTACCCTAAGAAGGGTTATCAGATTTTGACTAAGTATTATTGTATAGTGATAACTGGGGAGTCGTGGGAGCAACCATCAGATAATCCTCACGCAAGAGTTCAGCACCCAGTTTGAGAGGTGAATTTCCTTTAGTTGGAATGGGTATATGACACCAAGGCCAACTCATATATGCAGTATATTATTAGCTGAGTGTGGGCGGGGCCGAAATCTCATAGTAGTTGAGTATGGGTGGGGCCCAAATCTCATAGTAGCTGAGTGTAGGCAAGGCTTGAATCTCATTGTATTATTATAGTATGTGTCTGCTTGATAGAGATAAAGATACTTGTTGTCTATGTGATACTTGTATACATGTTAGTAGTTGAGTGTGGGCAGGGCACGAATCTAATAGCAGTTGAGTGTGGGCAGGGCTCGAATCTCAGAGTAGTCGAGTGTGGGTGGGGCCCGAATCTCCTAGACAATGGAGTATAGACTAGGCCCGAATCTCCTAGACAACGAAGTGTCAGCGGGGCCTGAATCTCCATGTGAGTGGTATGTGGTAATTTGGGGAGGCTTACTAAGCTTCATACTTATAGTTTTCTGTTTTTGAAGAAGTATTTAATCGAGTAGTGAAAACATAATTAGAGTTAATAGAATTAAGAACACCGAGAGTAAATAAGATCTTGTTTTTAGCTCATATTATGCTTCATGATATAGAGAGAATTAAACAAAATACTGACTCCAAAGTTGTTTTCTATCTCTAAGTATCCTCTCCTATTTATAGGAGAAAAGTAAAGCATAAAAAAATACAAAGGACTTGACACTTAAGATTCGATACTAAAATGCCTTTGTAAATAACATTACATAATTTCGACACCTTACAACTATACTTCGACCCTTACAATCTCCCCCTTTGTAAGCAGTGTCGAAATCAGGTTATCAAAACTTGAGCAACCATATGTAATGTTCTTCGAATTTCTGCATGCCAATTCATGACCCTCTTCAACTCAGCTTTATCTACATCTTTGTTCTTCTTACGACTGTTCATACACATAATCAAGTTTGTATACTGAGTAGTTGTATATCTTTCAACATCACTTTTTTGGAACAAAAACTTCGTTTGTTTTCCTCTCTTACTTTTCCCGACAAAAAAAAACTCCAAAAGGCTTCAGACAAATCTCACCATCAACAAAATTCGTTAAATCTGCTTTACTCTCTAACATAGATTTAGGAATGGTGATTTCTTTTCCCATTGATAATAGTAATTTAACATCAGTGAATGCTAGACAATCATATTAATTGTCTATGAAAAGCTTGATATGCCCCAATCCCAGACATAACACTTCTTTGCTTATAGCTTGGAGCTTCGAAGCATCCATATCTTTGAGAATGTTTGCAACTTGAATCAGATCACTCAAGTTCATTAGAGGAAAATCAGCTATACAGAAGTGGAAAGCAACTTTGTTTTCCCTCACTACATGGTATCGGAAATTTTGTAGCATGTTCTAGAACAACTCATCCTTCGTTATACTCAGCACTTGAATTATTCTCACTAGAGACCATACCTCTTCTTGATCCTTTCCCAACATAACATGAAATCTCATCTTCATGTGAGTAAACTCATCTTTATCGTTGAATTCATCAACAACCTTGTACTGAGCACTAAGAAACATCATTTCATTTATAGGAAAATCGAGTTGATTCATCTTAGAGTTCTCGATTGCATAACTCTTTGTTGGCTTCTTTTTCGAATTCATTCATCTTATTATATGCAACTATGGCTTCGATATTTTCGTAACTATGCAATTTCCTTGGATCACCTTTGTTCAAAGTAGGAGGATTATTTTGACGAAGCCTCAGAATACTTTGAAATTTGATGTTATTTCTCAATCTCTTCTTCAATCTCTGCCTTTCTTTCATCTTTTGTCTTTTCAACAACAATCTTTTTCCCTTTATCTTGACTTGTTGTAGATTCCTTAGGTTTTGAACAACTTCCTCCATGACCAGTTGACGCAATTACAATGCCTTTGGTAATTGGCCTTGTAGTAACAACATTTGATATTACTGGATCAGCCTTCGAAATTATTGGTTTTGAAGTAGGAATGTGAGTTGTGAACACTTTACCAAGAACTTTTGCTTCTTCACTCAGTACACCAGAAGCACCTTCTCCTTTACCAACATTCATCTTTTCTCCCCCTTGCACCCTCTGACAACAGGTAGGGCATTCGTTGGTAGGAGATTAATAAGCTGAGACAATGGGGATAACTCCTTTTGAATTGTAGCTTCAAACAAAAGAAACTTCTGAGTTAAAAACTCAACAGTTAAAAGAGATGATGATCCATGTTTCAAAACCAGCTCCTTTAATTCGAAAAGCATAGCATCAAGCTTCCCAAAACTTGTAACATTAGTAGTTACTTTTTCTTCAAACTTGGGAACAAGAGATTGATGTGTCTATATGAACTTAGTTACCCCAACAACTATTCTATCGACCTTCTCAAGAATAGAAGAATACTTGTTATCCAACTCACTTAACTCTGTGGACACATTCACCTTCATTTCTTCAAGCTTCCGATTTACATCTTCATGAACAGTTTTGACACCTTACACGAAAACAACATGACGTTCCTTGGCAACACGTTTCAGATCCCTGAGTTCCTCATTAAAAGTTGAAGACTTGGAGTTCACTCTTAACTCCTTATTTTTATCCATAACATAAAGCTTTTATTGAATTCAAGATTCTGAATCTTAGATCAATCCATTCACTTTATTGAACAGACGAAACTCTTGTGCTTTGAGCATCACATCGACTTCAATACTAGAAACAGAATTCTGATCCCCTGCATCAGCTTGTGATTGTAGAATGGAATTAAGCTTCTTGTTAAGAATCTTGAACTGCTTCCCCGACATAAGCATATGATCCGGGATATCTTCTTCTTCTTGATCAAATTCAATATCAACAAAAAACCTCCAAAACCTCCATCATCAGTATCAACATCATTGACATGTTTTGGTGGATCAGTGGATTAAGATGAGAAAAGGGAAGTGGTGGGTTGATTGATAACTTGTTCAAAAGTTGGTGAATTTGTGGTTGGAGCAACAGGAATGGTATATGGTGGTAAGGAAATATTGGTATTGAGGGTAGAGGTTTCGAGAATACCTTGATTTGACACTAGATTTTCTTTATTCAAATCTCCTTCACCCATATTGTCATTTACATCCGTATCAGATACGTGTGTAGGGATGCCTAAGGTTCGAACCTCCTCATGAGATGACTTGGTTAACGAAACCTCCGGTGGTATAACTTGAGCCTACTCAGGAGTCAAAATTTTCTTTGAAAGATCAAGCTCTGGATTTTCAGGAACTTCATCTTCTGAAGAGGCATTTTGAAGGACCAATTTCCTCTTCTTTATCTTTTTCGATATGTGCTTTGCAACATCCTCATCCCTTCGTTTATATGATGATGGAGAAACGGGTACAGGGACTTCACGAATCACAACCCCTTTTTGTGTAACATGAGGCTTGCGAATCATGGAAGTAGAAAAAACTGAAGACCGTTCAAGAGAATTTCGTGACATGTGAGATTTCTTCTTTATACACTTGAATACACAAGTTCAAGAGAATTTCGTGACATGAGGCTTGCGAATCATTCTAGTTTCAACAGCCTCATCAACTTTCTTCGAAACTTTGACCACCACCTTAGGTTGTTTCTTGGGTGACTTAGTAACATATGTCTCTTGAACAGTTTTCTCAGGAGTAGATTGACCAGCCTTCTTTGATCTTCGAGATTTCTTTGAAGAACCCTCATCCGTTTTGGGTAATAAAACACCGGTTTCATCATTTGGCCTAATGGTAAGTAAATGTGCCATTAACACTGGATTGGATGGATCAACTCTTTTTAGCATTGCATCTGGAATCCTTGCAATGTTAGGAAACTCCTCCTCCTCATCATCTTCAATTGTTTTTTTAAAAGAAATGTAAGGTCCTGAAAGAGTCTTACAAGTGATCAAATAGCAATAACAATCAGATAAACAAACAAGAACGAGTAGAATAAGAATCAAACAAGCTTGCACAGGCTTTTCTATTAGAATCACGTCTGGTACAACTTGTAGTTACAAGAGCTGAAAATACCGAGGCATCAACAACCACAAAATACCTAACATACCTCTATATATACTATCATGGGCCGGCCTTGGGTTTATGGCCGTAAACAGGCTTATGGCCGTAAACTCATTACAGTGACCGTAAACTCCAATCACAATACCATAAGCTATCAAATGACCAAAAGAACCTGTTACATGGAAAGCCTAGACCAAACCACTAATTGGACCCTTCAATCTCCCCCTTGGTTTGGTGCTAGCTTTAAATCAATCTTTGTCTATGATCATTACATCATCCAACCCCATCTCTCCATTCCACATTCGCTTGTTGATAATTTCAACAACCATCGTGGTATATTCTTTCACAACAGACTCAAAAATATCCTCAGTAACTGGAATTTGGAAATGGCTCAAATGTTGAATGTTTCGTTTGCCAAAATGGTACAAATCCCTTCTGTCATATAAACGAATGTACCCCTCTTTCAGTTTGATGACAGAAGATGTTGTGGTTTCATCAAACACCCAGTAAAGCATAGTGCTTAGAGATCCATCCGAGTAATCTTGAAGCACTGGAATTTGTTTGACCTGATTTGTAGCAGGCCACATCACCACCTGAAGTGGATTACCAGTCTTGGGATCAATAACATCAGGATGATCCATTATCACAGACTCAGCAGTCTTCATAGCTGGAAATCCCTTCTTTACTTGGTCTTCCAGAAAATGCTTGAAGCTTGTTGCTTGCTGGATATCAGTCGGGTTAGAGAACGGAGATTGAGATAGCTTCGAAAGATCCACTCTGGTCCATGAATTAAAATCATGACAGTCCTGGTAGAGCTCTATATTGGCACTCTTTCGGCGAACAATCCACATTTTTAGTGGATCATGAAAACCACAAGAGATGATACCTGACCTATCACCATACGTGTCTTTAAACCTTAGAGTTTCGAGATCCATAACAGTGATTTTGGACTGATTTCCCGGTGCATTCTTATCAGAACTCCTCTTGAATAAAATTTTTCCCTTCTTGGCAGCCTTCTCTTGTTTATCCCGAATGATCCCTGAACTATGTGGGGCATGGATGGGCTCTTCTTCGAAGTGATTCACGACCCATGAGGTATCAGCAATTGGCATGGTAATGGGATGACCTTGAGAGTGAAGATTAATTCTATATTCATCAGCATTAGTCTTGTGCTTAACACCCAAATCTTCTTCAAGCTTCTTCTTTAGATCAAAAGTTGCTGGAGGTCAAGAGATTAAAATGAGCTTGGAGCTCAAAAATCTGTTTGGTCTTCGTCGTCCCATCTTCTTTGAGATCAGAGACTTGAATATTTAAATTTATATTTTCACTTAGAAGGTCTTCAACATGGATGCTAAACTCAATGTTCTTCTGATCAAGCACATTTACTCTTTTCTGAAGTTCATTGATCACAGAATCTTCATCTCTAGACTGACCTTCATTAAAAACGATCCCTCTTGCCTTAGAAGTAGTTGCACCGGTTTGCTCTTGAGCCAAAAACTGAGCCAAACGAATAGAAGCATCTTCATGATCTACCCCTGGAGGAGAGAACCCTAGTGGTATAGAGGGACCACCGGTTTCAAAAATGGTACTGGGGCCTTTATCGAATGGTTTTGCAGTTACGATATTTGGAGTAGTAATTGGAGTAGTAGGCACGCCTTGAGAAAGGCCAGAGTCCAAAAACCCGACCCTAGGATCTATTCTTCTCCTTTTTGATGGAGGTTTCATTGTCTGGTCTTCTTGTTGATCATCTTGAAGTGGCTCAAATATGGGCAAAGCACTATCAAGGGGAGGAATCCCTGACACTGTCACTGTAGGAATTGAAGAACCAAACACTTGCTCTTGAGAAACGGGGGTTGAATCAAAAATGTCTTCCTTCTCCCTTGTCTCCGTTACTAGGATAGTAACATCACTGACATTATCTAGCTAAGAGTTGAGATTTACGCTCTTTAGAAAGTCATCATTTCTTCCAAAATTTTCAGGAATGTCATCTTGATCAAATCTGGTAAGATCAAGGTCTTCAAATTGATTAGGCTGGGCTGTGTTCTTAGATGACCCCTCATTGTAATCTCCTTCGATCTGAATATTTTGTAAATTATGTTCCTTTGTAGTTGATACATCATGAGCTTCGGCCTCTTCTCCCTCTTGATCCGATATAGTGACCACATCTCCTTCTGAGATAACTCTTTCCGATGAAGTATGCTCTGACGAAATTTTGTCTGACGATCCATGAGACTCGGTTGCTTCGTTCGGTTTGGAAAATCATCCAAACTTGACCAGAGGATGCAACCCTTTAAGACCACCTTTCCCTTTCGGTTTCGCTTGATGAGCCCAATAGTATGAGGACCCAAAGACTTCATATCCAATGTTTCTCCATCCTTCACCATATTAGGCAATTGCTTGTTGATGAAGAGTTGAATAAATCGAGGGTACATTAAGAAAGTATCCCAAGTAGTGGCATTAATGTTGACCACAAACTCGTCTAGAATAAATCTAGAAAAGTTGAAGTCGATCCCTACCGCAAGAGAAATAATAGCGCCAGTGTTTCTCAGGGAAATCTCATCATCACTGGATCTTCTGTCGGAGATACAACTCACGAACATGTGGGCTAGAAATCTCCAATAAGGCGGAAAAAGTTTATTTATTGTCGGTGGAGTATCACCCTCGTATCCCATCCTCCTTAGAATCTTTTGAGCATCACTAATACCAATTTCTGTGGGAAAGGTTGGAAGGTCGTTAATCAGCAGAGTCTCTCTCACAAAGGTCTCATCAATGACAATCTTGCATCCCTGAACGATTGCATCTATAGTTACAGCTCCATCGTCGTCCCTTGTCATCTTAGCAGTCTGCCAGAACTCACGAACCATTTGGGGAGTTTACGGATGCAAACACCTTACGACCGTAAGCTTCGACCGTAAATTCCGAAAAACCTTTTTGTTAATTTCAGCCTCAAAAACACGGTGAATCACACAACAAGATGGATATTCCTGGTCGAAAATGCAGTACCTTCAAGACTATCGGATTAATTTCGCAAAAATTAATGATTTTTTTTTGGAGGAGAGAGAGGATGAGAGAGTTTGCGGCCGGAATCAAGAAAATGATGGAGATTCCGGTTGTAAACCTCTTTATATACCCACTTTTCATTTACCTGATAACTACACAGTATAAGTCTCCAACACAGTCCAATATTTTTCAAAAAAATTTAAAAAACAAATATTTTGAGAATTAATATTAAAACTAAAATTAAAAATAAAATAAAATAAAATTAACTTTGCAACATTAAAAATATAATAATAATAAATTAAAAATATGTTTTTGTTTTTAGCAGTTAACAAAATAAAAAATAAAAAAATAAAATTAAATTAAATTAACTCCAACTAAAATATACAACTTAAAAATTTAATTCTTGAGAATGAATTTGTGCTGCTCGGATCAAAGTTGTTGGACAGTCTTATTCCACTTGTCAGTACCCTTATTTTCACATATTCATCTGATCGGTCGCCAATATTGTGTCCCACTTAAACACGAAACATTTGTGACATAATTTTGGACAGTTTACCAATAATATGACATTTTTAGCCCTTATTCTTAAGTAAATTTCTTAGGGACCATTTATCAGACGACAACCAGGGATATTGTTGTCCACCTAAATTGAGTAGCGAGATCTACAGACAATTTGTATGTGTTTAATTTTAATTTTACTAGAACGTGTTTCCAGCTTCCTAATATGCCCCAACCATCAAGGACTTTCAGAATACTCCTTACACCGGGTGAGCAGACAATTATTAAGAGAGAAGATAGATTTAGAATGCATATGCTGTACAGTTCTCTTCCAATCACGCAAAGGATGAAACATATGACTAACTGAGGTTTTAGAGGGATTGAGAAGAGAATGGTGCATATACTGTGTATCGGGTCGGATTTTGAGTCACGCAAAGTAGACAATATATGGCTAACAGATAGAAAGAATTGCATAGATAGAAGATGCAGAGAGATAGAAATGCATATGTTACAGTCCAGGTCGAATCTCTCGATCACGTAAAGGAGGCAACATATGACTAACAGACAGAAAGAAAGAAAATAACCTTCTACAAACCTAATTTATCGGAATTCTCCAGTCACCCCATCCAACCGGAATTAAGGATAGAATCCACACATCGAGGAAAAGTGAATCCACCGTTCTAGATACGGGTTCTTTAGTGTGACCAGTAGATTCCCATGTATATCTCCCCGCTCAACCTATCCGAGCATCGTATTTTCAGGCTAAACAGATCAAACTAGGTCAATGTTTGTCAAGTCCTTGAATTTATTAAGTTCAACTCTCCCTAGTCAAGTCCATTTAAAATCTTTCGTGCCTACCAGCGCATCGAGCATAGAGCGTAGAAAATTCAACTTGGGTACGTTACGCAGATTCAGATTGTCCGTTATCACTTGCTAATTTCATTTCCCAGTACAACACCCG